AAAAAGTGTCAACCTCGACCTCTGACGTCACACGGGTTGGGGACGTTAATGGATGTTTATTGAATAGATTATTTTAAAAAATAACACATCACTGTTAAGCTATTACTCATCATTTCACAAAATTTCATTTGAAAAACTATATGATAAAAAGTATGCTAACAATTAACAAAATTATGCAAACAAACACATAATAAAAAATATATATATTTATTTATTTATTTCATTTCAAGATAAGTATTTACCTGGTTCCTCTTGCAATAGGTAATCCTCTTCTTCCAATTAAACCTCTTGGCAATTTATTTAAATTATTAGTTGAATTAGTTTCCATATCTGTATCAGAATCTGACAAGTCTAAACATTATATATTACATCTGAAATTAAAAAATAAATTTTATCATATACATTCATAACTATGTATTTTGAATTAATATAATAAAAATGTTCTCAAGATATTAAAATAAATTAATATGTGGTGATTATATAGAACATTTATTTCTGAGGAGGAGATTTGGTAATGCTGGTGAAATTTCCTCTAGTACATAATTCAAGATTTAAGTGTTTCTCACAATATGTAACAAGACAAAAAGTAGGACTGGTTCATAGCATTGTCAAGTCTATTCCTCAAAAAAACTTTTCACTTTATCAAGAAAACTAGACATATAACAAATTACTTTGAGAAGTAATTTGTTATATGTCTAGTTTTCTTGATAGTTATCTTAAACATTCAAACTTAATTTCTCAAAATTTACAGAATTAGAGATGAAAAGAAGATGCTCCCATTTATAAAAACATCAATATTCAACAAAGCAAGAATGTCTTGAAAAAGTTAAAAAAAAATACAGCAAACTCTCAATTTAATAGACAAAGATTTGTCCTGTAGGAAAAACTGAAAACCTTTTTTATTCACAAAGAGAACATGCCTAAGATTGAATCAATGAGTCAATTAGTATAAATTTCTCAATAACATTATATTATTATATATTTTATTCATACTTATACATTATAACAACACTTTAACACATCTTAAACATTTAAATTCATTATTAATTTACTTTTTTAAAAAACATTCGATTTAACAGACTTTCAACAATGGCAGACACCTTCAATTAGTTCATTAAACCAAGGGTCTACTATACGTTTTTCTTTTTACAATGCTTAAAAGTGATTTTTTTTCAACATTACAATACAAAATTATCTTGACTTTAAAGATTTAAAGTTGACCCTTAATTTTGAAACAATAGGTTAATTTGAATCTAACCTAAATAAAACTAAATGTTCAAATAAACAAGGAAATATTTTCAAAATCATTGCAACTTAAATGGCTTTATGACTACGACCTTACATAAAATATCTATTTTGACATTATTTAAAATAGAAAAGAGAAATCAATTTTGTATACACACATTCTATAATCTTAATTTTATTACTAAATGACAATAATAATAAATTGAATATCAAACTCAGCTTCTTTTAAAACATTTAATAAAACATTTAACACCTTATAATGCTGAGAATATTTATTAAATAACAAACGTTTTCAGCCTAATGGAATAGGCCATCATCAGGTGACAGGCTATCAAACAAATTTGAAAATTGTGTTAAAACGGAACTTTCGAACATTACAAATTCAAAATTAAAACGTAAAACAAATTCACCAATCAATATATCACAAACGTTTTCAGCCTAATGGAATAGGCCATCATCAGGTGACAGGCTATCGAACAAATTTGAAAATTGTGTTAAAATGGAACTTTCAAACATTACAAATTCAAANGATTTACGATTGTGGTGTTTATTTTGTTACTTAGTTAATTTTATTTTCTTGAGAAAGGTCTTTTAACAAGACCGAAAACGTTTGAAAGTTGTTATAATAAAGCGTCGGCTGCAAGAAAAGGTGTTTTAGTAAGTGTGTTGATATTACAATATGCAGTCTAGAAAGAATTCCAAAATAGAATCTTTTTAAATTTGTTTTGTAATGGTAATTCTGAAAAAGGCTTCTCAAGCAAGCCAAAAATGCTTGTTTTATTAAATTTCTGTGCTAGAAAGATAGTGTTTAGTGTTTTCTTACCATGTATATTATTCATCTTAATCTTTGATAATTGATTGCGGAATCTTAATTGAATTACATCATTTCCCAATTAACTAAATCTATGTTTCTATTCCTCCTGTTTTTTAATATTTTTTATTATTAAAGAATTTAAGAGTTGGTTCATCATATTACTCTCCTTCAGTCAGTCATATGTATCAGTGTATTGTTGTCCATTCAGAAAGAATATCAATATAAAACTTTATATTCTCACTTATGATGCCAAATATATTATATGGAAGAAATTTTACAGTCTCTAATACATCAACAAAATGAATCTAATGCCAAAAGACAGTACAATTTCTTCTGTTTACAGAAAGAAAATCTTATGATTTCACATTTTGTAAGTTCAGTCCTTTATTTACACATACTTCAATGTACCGGTACAATTTTATTTAAGTTAAACTAAGTTAAGTTAATTTGAATAAGTTAAGTTGATGGATATGTAGTATAGCTCTTCATTCCTTAAGAGAATAAGCCACCTCTCTCCTTCTGACTCTCCCCTAAGGAATTCAATGGCCCTGGAGCCCAATCAAGCTAGAACGGTGTCAGTACTTCTCCCCGATGTAGCCCAAATTTGGCTGATTTGCATAGACTTATCAGACCTTGTAGGTTAAGTGATGAAACCGAGTAAGAGATCAAGTTCAAAAATATAGGGTGGGGTATAATAGAGTCCCACATTTACGAGGTAAATTTTAAAAAGAACAGTACAATAATATGGAAAAATTTTTATTTATTCAAAGTACAGTACATGTAATAAGGTTTTTTTGGTTAGGTTTTAAAAATGATGTCATCCAATGGGAGGTGATCGGTCCCGCTAGGTGGAATGAACGATAAGGTTTTCAGTAGTCAACATACCATGGTTGGGTGAACAACAGGGCTTTATCATGGAGGCTTTTCTCAAAAATGCCAAGTCTATGACTGCGACACAGAGGGCATTTCGCATGCAATTTGGTTTAAATCCAAACGAAAGTGTTTCTGATCAGAAAACAATTTTGGAATGGATCTAAAATTTAAGGGCAACAGGATCTGCAAATCCTAAAAAGCCAGTTGGGCATCCCAAATCTGTGAGAATACCTGAAAACATCGCAGCACTCAGAACATCAATAGAGCAGTCTCCAACATGTTCTGCTCAGAAACATGCCTCTACACTCGGTTCAAATGGTAAACCAAATTTTGCACTGTGACCTTAAGTTACACCCTTACAAGATTATGATTGCTCAAGAATTGAGTCCAGTAGATTGTGGAAGATGTAGAGATTGTTGTAATGCAATCCTTACAGCTGTGTCTCCTAGCGGTATTGTATGGAGTAGCAATGAAGTGTATTTTCATCTGTCTGGCACAGTGAATAAGCAGAATTTTCGTTATTGGGCTGCTGGAACCCTGAGCTCTCCACCAACAACCTCTTCACAGCCTGAAAGTCACCGTTTGATGTACTTTGTCCTCTGTAGGCATCGTGGGCCTCTTTATTTTGAAGAGGATGGCGTCACTGTTACCAGAGGCAGCCTTAGGGGGTGGCGAGCAGGGCAATCGCCCAGGGCCTCACTCTTCCAGGGGCCTCATGCAACAATCCGAGTAGAAAAAAGTTGATATTTAAAACTTTTTATGTTATCCTTAGCTATTAGTTATAACAATAAAATAAATTTGATTAATTCATAGTACAGTACATATTATTATTAATAAGTACCTAAATAAAATTAGTCTGAAGTTTAGACTATTTACAAAAAGTCAAATTAACTTTTGAGTCCATCTTTATCCTTTATACACTACCACAGAAGTAACAGTCTTAAAAAATTTGCTTTGAAGAACTCTTCTTAAACACAGGTAAAAATTGGTAAAAAACCTCACAATGTTAAAAAAATGATATTAAGTTTTAGTGAATCTTACATTATTAACAGTATTTATGGAGTCAAACTTAAAAGATTTATAATATCAATTAAAATTTACAAACTTAACTTACAATGTTTCACAAGAGTAATAAATTACAATGTTTAAGATATTTACAATGTAGGTTTCACACACACACACACACACACACACACAAAATAAATTAGAGTTCAAATAGTTCCTTAATCCTGAACAGATCTGTTGAAAAGACACCTAGCTACGATTCAGGGATTGCAATCCCTGAGTTGTAGCTAGATATAAGCTCCTTCCAGCATTCGTCGAAGAAACAGCAAGACAAATGAAATCTTGCCTCAAGCTTAACGTTAACCAACTTAACCAAGTTCCTTTGACCAACGTGAAGTCCTAAGCCAAGATTAAACTGAACTTAAACAAAACATCCTTAACCTGAAGTTCCTATCGAGCTTAACTTTTCTGCCTAAACTTCAATCTTTGGATTGATGGCAGGATTGATTGACCAATCAGCACTTCATAGCTCTGTCGGAGGTGCGGTGGTGGTCCGATGATCGGTGGCCAATCAGCGATGATGCTTTCAAAACTACTGGTTGTTTTTCCTTTTAAAATTACATCATGCTTCATGTTTTAATGGGCCATATTTTCTGCAATCAATGAAAAATAAGACACTGATCAACTTGCTGGTCATCCCTGACCTATATTGATCACCTTGATCACCTATATCCTTGATCACCTCATCAAGGAGGTATAAAAATAATAGGCACCTATACTAGAGTTTATGCCCTGTTTAGGCTTACATTCATTAATCTTTTAAATGTTGGGACCTAGGAGATCCCAAAAAATTAATATATTGCATATGCTTACATTATATAACTAAATAAGTCTACAGTGGTACCTCAGGTTACGAACGCCCCAGCATACGAAATTTTCAGGATACGACATGAAATTCTAACATATCTTGCTCCACGATACGAACAAAAACTCACCATACGACGTTACATTAGTTCGCATTTTTCATTTGTTTTTCTTACTACAGTTATTTTTTTACTGTATTACTTGGCTTTAATTTGAGTATGTTTTTCGCGTTGGAACGAATTATTTGGTTTTACATGTAATCGTATGGGAAAAGATGATCCACCTTACGACATTTTCATGATATGATCTCAGTTTCGGAACGGATTAATTTCGTATCCTGAGGTACCACTGTACTTAATCATAGGTGTGTGATGCTCTAGAAAAAACAATAATCAAGTTGACAATAATCACTTGAAAAGAACATGGTATCTGATGCAAGACATGAATGTTTAATGTGTTTGGACAATGACATGAATGTTTGATCAAAGATATCATTGCCATGTTACTTTGCTTATTCATGTAAATGAACAGACATTCACATCATTTTAGAGTTTAAATCATTGATCATAACATATACACC